CCTGTGGATTTACTTTTAGTTTCCCCATAAAATGTTTGTACATACATGTAAGTAYATTTGTATTTTAAAGCAAGATTTTAGACAACCAAGATCTGAAAAAAAGATTACTTCATAGCATAAATAAAAATTTCTTTAAAGAADTTTTTTTGTCATGGTAGCTTCTTAAACTTGAATATAGAATATTTCACAAAACAATGTATATCTTTATTATGTTCTCCTCTAGCTTATTTTATGTTTGTATGTTCTGAAATGTAATATATAAATTATAACCTTATTCTTCTTGTGAAGTAAGTATAAGAATGTAAATTGTAAATTTAGTCATAAAATGACATTATTTTTGTTCTATGATACTATTAAGAAACATAACAGGACAAAAACACTGTTTTCTATATCCTGTCCCTACATTTGTCAGACAGATAGGATCATTTCATTTCTACACGCATTCTGCTTCCAAGTTAAAATTATTAATGACTGTTTTTAATCTTCTGTAAAATTACATATGTACTGTATATACTTGCATATTCTATGTATTTTCCACTTTTCCCTTAATAGGCTGTATATACTTCCCTTAATACTGTATATACTTGCATATTCTATGTATTTTCCACTTTTCCCTTAATAGGTACTGGATTTGCTCGGATAAATTTTTATGGGAAGACTCAGTGGAGTTTTGTGCTAGAAACAAGAGCAGACAAGAGCTGTTATTCCCTGAGTGATACTTGGATGCAGGAAGAGAAGTATGATTTGCCTGAATCTCAGCGGAAAACTAGGAGAGGCAGAAAGGAGCATTTCCTAGTTGGTAAAGCATGAAACAGAGGGCAAAAAAATCTTTTTCTATTTAATAAAAKATACTTAAAAACCCAGAGAGGAAAAAAAAATTGTTATATCCGCCGGTCACTTGTTCTCACAGGAGCTTATGCAATTCCACCCAGAGCCCGAGTTGTGCAGCTGCTCCCCAGGCAGATGTGGTGGCTCCGCAGCAGGGGAGCTGGCTCCGTGCAGGGGTTTGTGCTGCAAGGGCCTGTTTGCAAACACACACCTGCGCCTCCCGCAGAGCCTTCCACTTGCATCTGGGCACCCACACCACTTGGGTTTCAAAGCTAATGGGCAATCACAGCCCCATGGATAACGCAAGCAGCCGTGCCTGCCAAGCATACTTCATCCCAAGGACAYTCGGATAGATGGTCTCTGTTGAACATTTACAAGGGTATTTACAGTATTTACAATTTTACGGAGGAATTACAAGCATAAGGATGAAGCATCTACAAGGGAAACACTGCCTTTATGGTATAAATTAATTACATCGTTGGGTGCTGTTGTATTCTTAGATCATCTCATACTAATAGCTCCTTTTAAAAATGTGTAAATATTTATATATGTATAATTTTGTTTAGATATGTTATTCCTGAAAATCACTTAGCTTCTTTGTAACATCAATGATATTTTTATCTGAACAGTGTGTACACAAATGGCAGTTACTGTTTTTTTTTAACAAGTAACAAATATAAAGTGGGTAATACAAGCCATACTCACCGAGTAGAAAGGACTAACTTAAAAAGGGTTGATTTATGGAAATCTTTAGTGCCTGTTTTTTTGTAAAAGGTTAGAAGTTTTCTCATTTTGTCTGTAGTCTAGTTTTCTTTATCCATGTAATATACACATCCTTATTTATGTATGAAGTGGTATAGTTTTAATTAAATAGTGTAAAAAATGCTTGTAATTGCAGTAACTGATTTCTCACCCTGTCTTGCCAAGGCAAACATTTGGGCAAACCACATTGACTCAGTTTTTCCCCATCTTTAGAATTAGAAAATTTCTTAAATCTATTTAACTGTTATATTGTTTGAAAATGTTCCGCAAATGATTTCCAAATATATAGGTTTAGAGAAGTGGGACTAATAAATGTTATAAAATCATTAAAATTAATAAAAGATCTCACAAGATTTATAACAACCATAAATATGATCACATGAGAAAGTCCTCAGAAATGCCTCTTTTTAATCAAGCTACTACTAATGATGACAATTTTGTTCATTTCCTGTTATTTGCTCTGGCCTTTTCTCGATATTCTTCACATTTTGATATTTGAACTGAACTAACATCTAGAATTTATATTTAAAAGAGAAGCACGTCTTGAATTATGTCTTGAAATTTCACACTTCTGTGAATAATCCTGCATTTCCACTGGTACTTTCCAAAGAGCCAGGTCCTCTGCTATATCCAAAATTCTGCTGCTGCTGAAGGGCTATTTCTTGGTGTTTGTATCACTGTGTGAAAACAAAGTGCAATTTAATTCACAGAGTCACAGAATATTTAAGGTTGGAAGGGACCTCTAGAGATCATCTAGTCCAACCTTCCTGCTCAAACAGGCACACCTAGAGCACGGGGCACAGGGTGGCATCCAGGCGGGTTTGGAAGATCTCCAGAGTAGGAGACTCCACAACCTCCCTGGGCAGCCTGTTCCACTGCTCTGTTACCCTAACAGTAAAGAAGTTGCTCCTCACCTGGAGACGGAACTTCTTGTGCTTCAGCTTGTG